AGCAGGGAACAGCAGGAAGACCAGTGTGGCTGCAGCAGAGGGAGGGAGAGGAGGAATGGCAGGAGATAAGCAAAGAAGTGTGTGTGTCAAAGGGGTCGGCAAGATCAAATGGGCCATAGTACAGGCTGCATGTAGATTTATCCTAAATACTTAGCTAATGAGATTAGCAAGTTCACAGGTGATGCCAGTGCATCCTTGGTATTATCCAGGAGCTTGCTGGAAAAGATTATTGAGCTCCACTCCAGGTCTCTAGAGTCAGAACCTGCTTTTTTTTTTTTTTTGAGATGGAGTCTCACTCTGTTGCCCAGGCTGGAGCGAAGTGCATGATCTCAGCTCACTGCAACCTCCACCTTCCGGGTTCAAGCAATTCTCTGCCTCAGCCTCCTGAGCTACAGGCATGCACCACCATGCCTGGCTAAGTTTTGTATTTTTTTTTTAGTGGAGATGGGGTTTCAACACCTTGGCCAGGCTGGTCTTGAACTCCGGACCTCGTGATCCACCTGCCTCGGCCTCCCAAAGTGCTGGGATTACAGGTGAGAGCCAATGTGCCAGCCAGAACCTACATTTTTAACAAGAACCTCAGAGATTTATATATACATTGAAGTGGAAAAGCACTAGTTTAAACTATGCAATTTAGCTTTTTTCTACAGAGAAATAGGAAGCCACCATAAGCATTTTTTTCTTTTCTTTCTTTCTTTCTATTATTATTATTATTTTTTGAGACAGGGTCTCACTCTGTCACCAGGCTGGAGTGCAGTGGTATGATCTTGGCTCAATGCAACTTCCACCTCCCAAATTCGGGTGACTCTCCTGCCTCAGCCTCCCAAGTAGCTGGGATTATACACATGCACCACCACTCCCAGCTAATTTTTGTATTTTTAGTAGAGACAGAGTCTTGCCAAGTTGCCAGCTGGTCTTGAGCTCCTGACCTCAAGCAATCCACCTGCCTTGGCCTCCCAAAGTGCTGGGATTACAGGTGCCTGCTACCATGCCCAGCTAATTTTTGTATTTTTAGTAGAGATGGAGTTTCACCAGTTGGTCAGGCTGATCTCGAATTCCTGACCTCAGGTAATCTACCCTCCTCAGCCTTCCAAAGTGTTGGGATTACAGGAGTGAACCACTGTGTCTGGCTTTTGTTTATTTATTTGAGACAGTTTCACTCTGTCACCCAGGCTGGAGTGCAGTGGTGTGATCTCAGCTCATTGCAGCCTCAGTTCCTGAGTTCGAGTGTTTCTTGTGCCTCAGCATCTTGAGTAGCTGGAATTACAAGTGCGTGCCACCACACCCAGTTAATTTTTTGTATTTTCAGTAGAGACAGGGGTTTCTGCTATGTTGCCCAGGTTGGTCACAAATTCCTGGCTTCAAGTGATTCGCCCACCTCAGCCTCCCAAAGTGCTGGGATTACAGCTGTGAGCCACCACACCCAGCCCTCATCTTATATATCTCTTCGTCTCATTATTTATTCTTTTTTTTTTTTTTTTTTTTTTTTTAGACGGAGTTTCGCTCTTGTTACCCAGGCTGGAGTGCAATGGCGCGATCTCGGCTCACCGCAACCTCCGCCTCCTGGGTTCAAGCAATTCTCCTGCCTTAGCCTCCCGAGTAGCTGGGACTACAGGCATGCGCCACCATGCCCAGCTAATTTTTGTATTTTTAGTAGAGACGGGGTTTCACCATGTTGACCAGATGGTCTCGATCTCTTGACCTCGCGATCCACCCGCCTCGGCCTCCCAAAGTGCTGGGATTATAGGTGTGAGCCACCGCACCCGGCTCATTATTTATTCTTTAAAATATACTTAGTAACAAATCGGTAAGTATAAGGAAGTATTTCCCTAGTTCTGTAGGCCACTCTAGCAATTTAATGAAATCCAAAAAGAGAGTTACAGGAACCATAACTGAAGGGTTGGTCAGAACTTGCAACTGATATCTGGATGGGGTAGATGGGAGGCAGTCTTAGGGACCGAGTCCTCAACCTGCCTTGGCCTCCCAAAGTGCTGGGATTACAGGTGTGAGCCACTGTACTTGGCCTTACCTGTGCATTTAAAAGGATATTTGTTAGATGTTATCAAGCATTTCTATACCTGTAGTGAGAAATTTTTCAGTCTACCTACTTAACCATAATTTAATGCTGGAAAGATAAGTTCTTTGGGTAATTCCTAAAATCAGATGTTTGTGATCATCTCACCTTGGGGATATGAGAGAGAAATAACATAAAGTACTTGAATATTGGGGTCTCTCTCATTAAAATAAGTAAAATAAACATTTTATTTAATTAATTGATTAATATATTTTTGAGACAGAGCCTCACTCTGTCACCCAGGCTGGAGTGCAGTGGTGCGATTTTGGCTCACTGCAACCTCCGCCCCTGGGTTCAAGCAATTCTCCTGCCTCAGCCTCCTGAGTAGCTGGGATTACAGGCATCCTCCACCATGCCCAGCTAAGCTTTCTATTTTTAGTAGAGATGGGATTTTGCCATGTTGGCCAGGCTGGTCTTGAACTCGTGATCTCAGGTGATCCATCCGCCTCAGCCTCCCAAAGTGCTGGGATTACAGGTATGAGCCACCGCACCCGGTCTTGTTTTTTATTTTTTGAGACACAGTCTCACTTTGTCCACCCAGGCTGGAGAACAGTGGCACAACCTCAGCTCATTTCAACCTCTGCCTCTTAGGTTCAAGCAGTTCTCCTGTCTCAGCTTCCTGCGTAGCTAGGACTACAGGCATGCACCACCATGCCTCGCTGATTTTTTTTGTATTTTTAGTAGAGATGATGTTTCGCCATGTTAGCCAGGCTGGTCTCAAACTCCTGACCTCAAGTGATCTGCCCACCTCGGTCTCCCAAAGTGCTAGGATTATAGGCATGAGCCACTGTGCCCAGCCAGTAAAAGTAACATTTTTAAATAGCAAGAACATTGGAAATTTTTTTGGTTCAAACTTCACATTAGAGCTGGGCACACTGGCTCATGCCTGTAATCCCAGGACTTTGGGAGGCCAAGGTGGATGGATCTCTTGACTTCAGGAGTTTGAGACCAGCCTGGGCAACATGGTAAAAGCCTGTCTACTAAAATACAAAAAATTAACAGGGTGTGGTGGTAAACACCTGTCGTCCCAGGTACTCAAGAGGCTGAGGTGGGAGGCAGAAGTAGCAGTGAGCCAAGATGGCATCACTGAACTCCAGCCTGGGTGACAGAGACCTAACCTAAAAACAAACAAAAAAAACTTCACATTAAATAGAAAATCGTTTTGTACAGATCAGTGAAACCTGACCAAAATAATGCTACAATTTCCAAAGTAAAATAAATCAGTTGAGTTAAAACCAAGTAGACTCTGGTAACTGAGAATAACAGTCACAGGAGTAAAAAAGTTAGTGAGATTCAAAAAAACCTCTTGCCTCTCATGATATATCCTTGTGAGGGAGACACTGCTGAGTAATGAAAATGTTTCCATTCTTAGGAACATTCGTGATGACAAAGCACTATAAACATCAGCACCATGGGCATAAATTATATAACTTGTCTCAGAACTGTTAATTAAACGAGTTAATATTTGCAAAGAAATCTAAACAGTGCCTGGCATGCTGTGACTGTGGTATTATATAAGTACTTGCCAAGTAAAAAAAAAAGGAATGGAATTACAACCATATCCCTTAGATTGGGGGTCTCCAGGATCAGTACTGGTTCGTGGCCTATTAGGAACCCAGCTGCATAGCAGGAGGTGCATAGCGGGAAAGTGAGCAAAGCCACCTGAGCTCTGCCTCCTGCAAGATCAGCGGAGGCATTGATTCTCTTAGGAGGCTGGGCAAAGCGTCTGGGATCATGCCTGTAATCTCAGCACTTTGGGAAGCTGAGGCGGGTGGATTACCTGAGGCCAGGAGTTCAAGACCAGCCTGGCCAACATGGCAAAACCCTGTCTCTACTGAAAATACAAAAATTAGCTGGGCATGGTAGCACACGCCTGTAGTTCCAGCTGCTTGAGAAATGGAAGCAGGAAAATCGCTTGAACCTGGGAGGCAGAAGTTGCAGTGAGTTGAGATTGTGTCACTGCACTCCAGCCTGGGCGACAGAGCAATACTCATCTCAAAAACAACAACTGCAACAAAAGATTTTCATAGAAGTGTGAACCCTGTTGTGAACGGCACATTCGAGAGACTGTGGGCTCCTTATGAGAATCTAACTAATGCCTGATGATCTGAGGTGGAACATTTTCATCCCCAAACCAACCCCACCCACTCAGGGTTTCGCCATGTTGGCCAGGCTGGTCTCGAACTCCTGCCTCAAGTGATCCATCCACCTCAGCCTCCCAAAGTACTAGGATTACAGGCATGAGCCACCACACCCAGCCTTTCCCTTAGATTTTCATTCGTCTGCAAAAACTCAACCTCTCTCCTCATTTTCAAAAAAGAACATTAGGACCAAGTGCAGTGGCTCAGCCTATAATCTCAGCACTTTGGGTGGTGGAGGTGGGAGGACTGCTTGAAGCCAGGAGTTTGGGACCAGCCTGGGTAACATAGTAAGAACCCATCTCTGAAATAAATAATTAATTAAAACAACAGAAAGAATATTAAAAAAGACACAAAGCTCTAAAATAATAAGGTATATTGGCTTTAGTTTTCATGCCTCTTAATAGCATTTATTTTCAAAAATATAAACTCACTACAGGCATTAAGCACATTTCTTTTGTGGACCATTTGGATTAAATCCTCTTTAATTTAATCTGTCCATTTGGATCCTGTGGACAGACATCACTTTTTATATTTTTCTTCTTCCTCCTAATAAGCCTATCATAATACCAATCATAAAGTTATTTCATGGAACATGTAAAAAACTGAACACACTAGACATACTTGAGATAAAATAAAAATCAAAACTAAAAATTACATGTATTATTTCCTATTTTCATATAGCATACTGTTAAGATGCCCTTAGAAGCTTTTCCCATGCTTTAATTGCATGTTTGAATTAGGTCTTTCATATTTGTTCCATGAACAAAATAATATATTGCAACTCATAAAATGAAAAAGGTAAAATAAAAATAACAAAATATTGTAAAATGAAGAAGGCTCTGACAAAATTTTAAGAACTCATCAGTATAAGGATACTTTTGTCATTCATTGAGAAATGCAACTCAATATTATATTTAGTTTATTTGGAATAGCTATGTCCTTAACTGACAACCAATACTCAAACATCACCAAATTATTAATTTTTTATAAAATTTAAAAAATATATATATTTGCATACATTAAGACACTGGACAAATTATAGAGTAGAGTCTCAGGTTATGTGGAATTATGACTGCTCTCAACAATTACTGAAATCCCCTTTCAAAGAAAATCTTTACATAAACCTATGTTCTACTTAATAGAATGAAGACAGCCACAAATCTGGCATTCTCAAAACAGCACACAAGTACTACATGTAATGCTGCAAAGTAACTGTTTCCTCTTAAACTTCACTAAACACCTTCAGGCAGTCCAATAAAACAAAGCATTAAGAACTCCCAGTGGTCATCCTAAGAATTAGACAGATTTCTTTGACTTTTTCTTCTCTGCTTCTTCCTTTTCCTTTTCTATTTCAGTTACATGTAATTCAACTTCTTTTGCACTAAACATCTGAACAGGGAAAAAAATTTAAAGATCAAATGTCAATTATACAAATAATATCTAAATATTTACAATAAGAAGAAATCCAATATTTAATAAATTTATATTTTCTATGTGTAACTATATTTTAGAACTTCAAATATACAATAAAGCATTTCAAAAGGTCTAAGAACAATAACAATTATGGACAAAACCAGATCTCTGAAATTTCTACTATCATTGTGCTAAAAAAGAAAGCAGGGTGGAGGTGATATTGCATTATATATCCTATATGTCCATGTAACTCCAAAAACGTTTTAATTCAAGGCTTAATTCTATTCATGAGCAAAGATTCATTATTTAACTCCACCAACTGCACCCTACTGTGTGGTTCTCTGATAGGGTTTAATGATTTGATCAGTTTATAGAATAGCCAAATGAGGTAGGAAAAGAGGATGTACGCTGCTTTATGTCTAAGTAGAAAGCAAAAAAGGTTTTATTTATTTATTTATTTATTTTTTGAGACGGAGTTTCACTCTTGTTAGCCAGGCTGGAGTGCAATGGCGCGATCTCGGCTCACTGCAACCTCCGCCTCCTGGGTTCAGGCAATTCTCCTGCCCCAGCCTCCTGAGTCGCTGGGATTACAGGCACGCACCACCATGCCCAGCTAATTTTTTGTATTTTTAGTAAAGACAGGGTTTCACCATGTTGACCAGGATGGTCTCGATCTCTTGACCTCGTGATCCACCCGCCTCGGCCTCCCACAGTGCTGGGATTACAGGCTTGAGCCACTGCGCCCGGCCAAAAGGTTTTATTTTTCTAAGAATTTGCAGTGTAGTTTGATTTTCTGTTGTGCTGTTCACAAGTAGATCCAAGGTTACATGCTTTCTGCTAAAAGGCAGCAATTATTGGCCGGGCCCGGTGGCTCACACCTGTAATCCTAGTACTTTGGGAGGCCAAGGCAGGCAGATCACTTGAGGTCAGGAGTTCGACACCAGGCTGCCATTTTCTTTTTCTTTTTTCTTTTTTCAGACAGGGTTTCACCCTGTCGCCCAGACAGTGATGTTATTGCAACCTCTGCCTGCCGGGTTCAAGCTATTCTCCCACTTCAGTCTCCTGAGTAGCTGGGACTACAGGCATGTGCCACCACACCTGGCTAATTTTTGTATATTTAGTAGAGACATTTGCATTTTCAGTACAGACAAGGTTTCGCTATGTTTGCCAGGCTGGTCTCAAACTACTGACCTCAAGTGATCTGCCCACCTCAGTCTCCAAAAGTACTGGGGTTACAGGCCTGAGCCAGTGTGCCTGGCCAAGACAGCAATTATTAACTTTAATGAAGTTAATAAATTTATATACAAAAATCTAAATGCAATGATCTTAATACCAAAGAGGTACCTATTAAACTGATAAATGAATAATCAACTTTATGGTAAACTAAATTTTCAAAGATGTTAGAGATGTAAAGGATTTTAGCAATTTACATATAAGAAAATTTAGATTCATGAATCTAAATTATATTTGGCCAAAGATTAAAAGATTCAAGATTAGGTCTCTGATTCTTATTTCAACTCCAGACTTCTTTCCATCTTACCTATAGAAATATGTGTCAGAAAATCTGTATTTGTCAATAATCTACATAAAATATATTATTTGGACATTTTACAAAATGAATTTACCCATCAAGCAATTACTGGGAGTTCCATGGGCTCTAAAAGTAAAGTGCAAAAATATAATTTTTACCTGGTATTAAGGAGTCCACAGTTTAGTGGAAAAAGCCTGACATATAAATAGACCATTACAATTAAAACCTGAATAAAGTGATGTGGTATTACTTGGGAAAGAAATAATTTCCTGCTTTGAAAAAGCATTTTTTATTTTATTTTTCCTTTTTGAGATAGGGTCTTGCTCTGCCGCCCAGAGCTGAGTACAGTGGCACGATCACAACTCACTGCAACCTCTGCCTCCAGAGCTCAAGTGATCCTACACCCTCAGCCACCAGAATAGCTGGGGCTAGAGGTGTGCACCACCACGCCCGGCTAACTTTTGTATTTTTTTGTAGAGACAGGGTTTCACCATGTTGCCCAGGGTGGTCTCAAACTCCTGGGCTCAACCAATTTGCCCACCTCAGCCCCACAAAGTGCTGGGATTACAGGCATGAGCCACTGCACCCAGCCTGAAGAAGCCTTTTCAAAAAATTATTTTTAATATTTGTGAGTATATAGTAGGTATATATATTTACGGGGTACATTTGATGTTTTGATATAGCCATGTGATACATAATAACCACAGCATGGAGAATGGAGTATCCATCCCCTCAAGCATTTATCCTTTGTGTTATAAACAATCCAATTATACTCTTTTAGTTATCTTAAAATTGTACAATTAAATTGTTACTGACTAAAGTTACCCTGTCGTGCTATCAAATAGTAGTCTTATTTATTCTATTTTTTTGTACCTATTAACCATCCCCACCTGCCCCTGCCCCCACTATGCTTTCCCAGCCTCTGGTAACCGTCCTTCTGCTCTCTATCTCCATGGGTTCAATTGTTTGATTTTTAGCTTCCACAAATGAGTGAGAACATACAATGTTTGTCTTTCTGTGCCTGGCTTATTTCACCTAACATAATGATCTCCAGTTCCATCCATGTTATTGCAAATGACCAGATCTCATTCTTTATGTGGCAGAACAGTACTTCATTGTTTATAAGTACCACACTGTCTTTATCCATTCATCTGTTCATGGACCCTAAGGTTGCTTCCAAATCTTGGCTATTGTGGACAGTTCTGCAATAAACATGAGAGTGCAGGTATCTCTTCAATACACCGATTTCCCTTCTTTTGAGTACATACCCAGTAGAGGGATTGCTGGACCATATGGTAATTTTATTTTATGTTTTTTGTGAATCTTCAAACTATTCTCCATGGTGGTCGGGCGCGGTGGCTCAAGCCTGTAATCCCAGCACTTTGGGAGGCCGAGGCGGGTGGATCACGAGGTCAAGAGATCGAGACCATCCTGGTCAACAAGGTGAAACCCCGTCTCTACTAAAAATACAAAAAACATTAGCTGGGCATGGTGGCACGTGCCTGTAATCCCAGCTACTCAGGAGGCTGAGGCAGGAGAATTGCCTGAACCCAGGAGGCGGAGGTTGCGGTGAGCCGAGATCGCGCCATTGCACTCCAGCCTGGGTAACAAGAGCGAAACTCCGTCTCAAAAACAACAACAACAACAAAAAAAACTATTCTCCATGGTGGTTATACTAATTTACATTCCCACCAACAGTGTATGAGGGTTCCCTTTCTTCACATCCTTGCCGGCATTTGTTGTAGCTTGTGTATTAGATATAAACCATTTTAACTGGCATAAGGTGATATTTTATTATAGTTTTGATTTCCATTTCTCTGATGATCAATGATGCTGATCACCTCTGTTTTTTGTTTTTTTGGGGGGATGGGGTCTTGCTCTGCTGCCCAGGATGGAATACAGTGGCATGATCATGGCTCACTGCAGCCTTGACCTCCCAGGTTCAAGTGATCCCCCAGCTCAGTTTCCCAAGTAGCTGGGACAACAGGAGCATGCCACCACGCCAGGCTAATTTTTTTTTTTTTTTTTTTTTTTTTTTTTTTTTTTTTTTTTTTTTTTTTTTTTTTTGAGACGGAGTTTCACTCTTGTTACCCAGGCTGGAGTGCAATGGCGCGATCTCGGCTCACCGCAACCTCCGTCTCCTGGGTTCAGGCAATTCTCCTGCCTCAGCCTCCTGAGTAGCTGGGATTACAGGCACGCGCCACCATGCCCAGCTAATGTTTTTGTATTTTTAGTAGAGACGGGGTTTCACCATGTTGACCAGGATGGTCTCGATCTCTTGACCTCGTGATCTACCCGCCTCGGCCTCCCAAAGTGCTGGGATTACAGGCTTGAGCCACCACGCCCGGCCTGCCAGGCTAATTTTTTAATGATTATATTTGTAGAGACAAGGTCTCATTATGTTGTCCAGGCTGGTCTGAAACTCTTAGGCTCAAACAGTCCTCCTGCCTTGGCCTCCCAAAGTGCTGGGATTAGAAATGTGAGCTTAGCACAAGCACGTTTTCATATGCCTGTCTGCCATTTGTACGTCTTCTTTAGAGAAAAGTCTATTCATATCCTTTGCCTATTTTTTGATCAGATTATTGCATTTTCTCTTACTGAGTTGTTGGAGCTCCTTATACATTCTGGTTACCAAACCCTTGTCAAAAGGGTAAATTTGCAAATATTTTCTCCCATTCTGTGGACTGTCACCTCACTTTGTTGATTGTTTCCTTTGCTGTGCAGAAGCTCTTTAACTTGATATGATCCTCTTTGTCCATTTTTGCTTTGGTTGCCTGTGTTTGTAGGGTATTACCAAAGAATTTTTTGTGCAGACCAATGTCCTGGGGATTTTCTCCAATGTTTTCTTGTAGTAGTTTTATAAATTGAAGTCACAGACTTAAGTCTTTAATCCATTCTTATTTGATTTTTGTATATGGTGAGAGATAGGAGTCTAGTTTCATTCTTCTGCACAGAGCTATCCAGTTTTCCCAGTAGCCTTTATTGAAGAGACTTTTTCCCAGTGTATATTCTTAGCCCCTCTGTCAAAAATGAGTTCACTATAGATATGTGGATTTGTTTCTGGTATCTCTATTTTGTTTAATTAATCTATGTGTCTGTCTTTATGCTAGTATTATGCTGCTTTGAAAACTATAGCTCTGCAGTATAATTTGAAGTCAGGCAATATGATTCCTCCAGTTTTGTTCTTTTTGCTTGGGATAGCTTTGGCTGTTATGGGTCTTTTGTAGTTCCATATACATTTTGTGATTTTTTTTTCTATTTCTGTGAAGAATATCATTGTATTTTGGTAGGGATTACATTGAATCTATAGATTACTTTGGGTAGTATAGATATTTTAAAAACAATGATTCTTCCAATCCATGAACATGGAACACCTTTTCATTTTTTTTTAGTGTCCTTTCTTTTTTGATGCAGGCATTTAGAGCTACAAACTTACTTCTTAGTA